CGCCGCCGCCGCAGGACATGAAGCTGTATGAGAGCGGCGACAGCATCGCGCCCGAGCATCGCACCCTCATCCGACCGCACATGTTCCCGCCAGCCGGACCCAACGACGAGCTGAAGAAGTGGTGAGCCGGCCGGCGAGCGAGCGCGGGGGAGCGGGCCGTGTTGAGGGAGGCTGCGGCCAGGCGGCGGGCGCGGGGGAGTGGGCCGTGAGGAGGGAGGCTGCGGCCAGGCGGCGGACGCGGGGGAGCGGGCCGTGTGGAGGGAGGCTGCGGCCAGGCGGCGGGCGCGGGGGAGCGGGCCGTGAGGAGGGAGGCTGCGGCCAGGCGGCGGACGCGGGTGAGCGGGCCGTGAGGAGGGAGACTGTGGCCAGGCGGCGGACGCGGGGGACCAGGCCGTGTTAAGGGAGGCTGCGGCCAGGCGGCGGGCGCGGCGGCGCGGCAGACGTATGCGGTGAGGATGCTGTTGGAGCAGTGCTGACGTTAGCAGCTCTCGGCGTCAGCAGAAAACGATGGAGTCTTTGTCGTGCGTCACTCGGGCAGGATAGATGAGGCAGGTGCAGGCCGGCCGCCTGACGTGTCCAGTGCGGTCCGTGAGTCTCAGGTGGAGTGTGATGTGCACCGGTCACCAGGATCGGTGGACGACGTCTCCGCGCCGGGACGATGTCGTGACCCGGTCCACGAGCGTGTGTGTCCTGCGAGTGCCTGCCGCGCGACCGGTCGGTGTTCCGTCCGCGCTCGGAGCCCGCGTGTCTGAGGCGCCGCGTGCCGTCCCCAGCATCCGGATCCTGCCGCACCAGCAGAACACGGGCGGCTTCTTCCTGGCCGTGCTGCAGAAGGTTGGCAAGACCCCGCGCGAGGCGGCGCCGGCCGCCACAGACGCCGGCGCCGCCTCCGAGGAGACGCCGCCCGCTCCCGACGGACCGCCGCCCAAGAAGAAGGCGCGGCGCATCCGCGGCTATAAGGAGGATCCGTACTTCTTCGTCAAGAAGGGCGACCCCATGCTGCAGGAGCTCGAGTGAGTCGGCCGAGGAGGGGTCCGTCTTGTCTCTCGTTCCGTCGTCATCATGTTCTCCGGAGACCGGGGTGATTGGTAAAGCTTCTCGGCTTCTGATGTGTGGGGTAGTTTAGCGCTCATTTTTATTTGCAGTTTTGCAAAATGTGTTCACCGTGGTGCCTGCTTTCCAGCTGTTTGCTATGTTGTAGAACGGGTCCGCTGCCCAACTGACCAGCGTGCCGCTATACGTAACTGTTGATGTGCATTATTACTCTATCCTAAGAAGCATGGATAGTGCTGAGGTGCGTAGGAACAGGCAGGGTGAATGACAACGTGCCCAGGCAGCCACACGGATTCTTTTGCATTAGCGACCCCTGCACGCGTGCTGAGAAGGGACTTGCAAGTCGAGCTTCGGCCTTCCCTGGCCAGCCAGCAGGCCCGAGGCTCCTCCATCCCTGTCCGGCCTCCTCCCCACGTCGGGCGCCCTGCCCGCAGTGACTTCTACGGCCTGAGCGACGCGTTCGAGCCGTCGCTGCTGATGACGCGCTGCGAGCAGGGCAAGAAGAAGAACATCTACCTGTGCTCGCCGGCCGTGCGAGACCTGATCTCGGCCAGCCAGCAGCGCGTCAAGGTCATCAACTCGGGCGTTAAGGTGTTCGCCCGCTGCGACAACAAGAACACGCCCTGCGGCTTCCGACTCGCGCAGGAGGTGGGTGACCAGCGCGGGCGCTGGGGGTGACGCAATTTTAACACGGAGTAATGCTTGCACGGCCTGGGCGCGAAATGGCCTGATGAACCGAAACAACTGGAAACAATCGTCATTTACTGGAAGAGGGCGATACAATGACGCGATGCGCACGATGGTGTGGTCCAAGAGCTGGATGTCAGGTGTGTGTGTGGAGGGGTCTAGCCGACGGTTGTGGTGGGGTCCCTGGGAAGGTGTGTGTGTGTGTGGAGGCGTCTATCTGACGGTTGTGGTGGGGGTCCCTGGGAAGGTGTGTGTGTGGAGGCGTCTATCTGGCGGTTGTGGTGGAGGTCCCTGGGAAGGTGTGTGTGTGTGGAAGGGTCCATCTGGCGGTTGTGGTGGGGGTCCCTGGAAAGGTGTGTGTGTGGAGGCGTCTATCTGACGGTTGTGGTGAGGGTCCCTGGGAAGGTGTGTGTGTGGAGGCGTCTATCTGGCGGTTGTGGTGGAGGTCCCTGGGAAGGTGTGTGTGTGTGGAAGGGTCCATCTGACGGTTGTGGTGGGGGGTCCCTGGAAAGGTGTGTGTGTGTAGGGGTCTATCTGACGGTTGTGGTGAGGGTCCCTGGGAAGGTGTGTGTGTGGAGGGGTCTATCTGACGGTCGTGGTGGGGGGTCCCTGGGAAGGTGTGTGTGTGTGTGGAGGGGGTCTATCTGACGGTTGTGGTGAGGGTCCCTGGAAAGGTGTGTGTGTGGAGGCGTCTATCTGACGGTCGTGGTGGGGGTCCCTGGGAAGGTGTGTGTGTGTGTGTGGAGGGCGTCTATCTGACGGTTGTGGCGGGGGTCCCTGGAAAGGTGTGTGTGTGGAGGGGTCTATCTGACGGTTGTGGTGAGGGTCCCTGGGAAGGTGTGTGTGTGTGTGTGGAGGCGTCTATCTGACGGTTGTGGCGGGGGTCCCTGGAAAGGTGTGTGTGTGGAGTGGCCTATCTGACGGTTGTGGTGGGGGTCCCTGGGAAGGGTGTGTGTGTGTGTGTGGAGGCGTCTATCTGACGGTTGTGGTGAAGGTCCCTGGGAAGGTGTGTGTGTGCGTGGAGGGGTCTATCTGACGGTCGTGGTGGGGGTCCCTGGGAAGGTGTGTGTGTGGAGGCGTCTATCTGACGGTTGTGATGGAGTCCCTGGAAAGGTGTGTGTGTGGAAGGGCCTATCTGACGGTCGTGGTGGGGGGTCCCTGGGAAGGTGTGTGTGTGGAGGCGTCTATCTGACGGTTGTGGTAGAGGTCCCTGGGAAGGTGTGTGTGTGGAGGCGTCTATCTGACGGTTGTGGTGGGGGTCCCTGGGAAGGTGTGTGTGTGGAGGGGTCTATCTGATGGTTGTGGTGGGGGTCCCTGGGAAGGCGGGCTCGCGCCCGTCTTAGTGCCGGGAGATTCTGTTTGGAGGCCGGCGGTGTTTTATCCCGGTTCCTCATCGATTGCTGTTTGTGTAGCAATGCCGCAACGATAGCATTTTGTTCCGAGATATCGTATCTGCAGGATAGTTTAACGCTGTTTTGACGTTTGCGGCCTTGAGGTACCGACATTCCGTGATTATTCCCGAACACCGACCACGTCCTTGATTCTGTGTTACGAGGCCGATTTCCGTAGTCATTCACCTGAACTGTTGTAGTCAGGCACGACGAATATGAGTTGCCAGGGTTTCTTGCAAACCGAAAGCAATCATCAATCCCCTGCATCTCCTGTGTGTGAGTCCGTGCTGTACTCAAGGTACCGTTAAACTACAGGTACACCCGGGATTCCCTTTACACCATGATGACATTACGCTTGCGAGGAAGCCGGCTCTGCTCAGACACTCTTGGCGAAGTTCAAATGTTTGCGTCACTGCCTCGTGACCCGCCGCGCCGCCACCCGCCGCCGTGCTAACGTGCGCTGGGGCCGCGCAGGGCTCGGACGCCATCCTGCCGTTCCTGAACAAGCGGAAGGTGCAGGTGACGGCCGCCGACCTGGGCAAGATCCTGCAGTACGACGACATCGAGCTGCCGGCCGAGTTCACACTGCTCGACCCGGCGACCCAGGAGCAGATGGCCAAGTCAGGTCGGTGGGAGTTGGCCGGACTCGCGCGAGTGGACCCATCACGGACCTGCCGCCGGCCCGAGCTGTCACGACTTTGTAGTCTGACAGACGACAGCCCCGATGTGGCGGTCTGCGAGCGACGCGTGTGAGCGTCGCTGCTGTGACTGCGGGATGCCCCGCAGCTCGGGTACCGATGCTGTGCCGACGGACGCTGGGACGCCGCCGTTGTGACCGCCTCACCGTCGGGTATGTGCCGCAGGCGCCGGCGCCATCGCCCTGCTGGTGGACTCAGCCGTGTCGCCGGGCCGCCTGGTGCGCACGCACGTGGTCGGCTGGAAGGGCGCCACCTCGGTGCGCGCCTACGTGCAGCGCACGAGCGCATCCACTACCTGCGTCTGCTCGGCGCCGACACATCCAAATACGGTACGGGCCGGGCCCGTCCGGGCGTCGTGTAGCCAGCAGCGGCCCGGGCGGCGTGTACCCGGAGGGTGCGTCGCGCCCTCCGGTCCTGTCAGCGTCACGGGCGGGGCGTGCGGGCTGAGGTGACGGGAGGGCAGCACCGGCTGGCAAGTGAGGCGTGGTCGGTCGCCGGTCCCCGTAAGCTGATCGGGACGGAGCCGCGTCGTCTCCTGTCAGCGGCCGGCGACGGCGGGTGCGAGCGTGCCACGCACAGAGTGAGAAGCCGAACCCAGCTACGGCCTTACTGACTGACCAACACCTCACGTGTGGTTTGTAGGAGATATTGACACGCAAGGGTGTAGGTAAAAGCGATCTGTATAGTAAAGGTGCCTTGATGGGCAAGGACGGCTGCCGGCGAGACTGCAAACATCGCGTGCGTGCACTCGCGTGTCTGAGTTATCATGGCGACATCCCGAAGCTGATGTCTGCGGGATTGGCATGTCGTGGCGCAAGGCATTTAGCGGCACTGTGCGCTGCAGATGCCGGCGCATAAATTCGGGCAGCTGTCTTTCCTAGACCAGCACAGTTTGCCTGTGGGCTGTGGGCTGCAACTCCCGTTTTGGTTCCGTTGAGATACACCGGGTTAGAAAGTGCTCCCTCGTGCGAACTCTCCATGCTTGTGAGACTTCTCGACGTTTCGTTTCTCCACCCCCCAGTGAGTTAATTAAGATTTGCATTTCGCATGTCCACCATGCATTTGGTCCTGAACGTCTCTTCGTCAAAAGCCAACAAACACCGCCACCAGATGTCGCAGCCGGGCGGCGCTCTGCGTAGATGACTCCTCTCACGCGCGCTGACCTTTGCAGAGAAGAATAAGTTCGCGGAGGCGCGGGCTCTCGAGGAGAAGGCCGCCGCAGAAGCTCTCCCGGCGGCGGCGACGACGGAGGCCCCGGCCCCTGCGGCGGCGGCGGAGGCCCCGGCCCCTGCGGCGGCGGCGGAGGCCCCGGCCCCCGCGGTGGAGAACGGCAGCGAGGCACCCGCCCAGGAGGCGACAGTTACATAACGCCGCCAGGTGGCAGGGCATCCGCGTCTTACTGTCCTGTGATCCCGACCAATATATTGGTATGCGTTTCGCTCGGCGTTTGGCTTGCCGCTGTGGCGAAGGTCGCTGTTGTCCGGAAGGCTGTCCGGGCAAAGATCGCTGTTGTCCGGGAGGCTGTCCGGGCAAAGATCGCTGCTGTCGGGAAGACTGCCCAGACAAAGATCGCTGTTGTCCGGAAGGCTGTCCGGGCAAAGATCGTTGTTGTTCGGAAGGCTGTCCGGGCAAAGATCGCTGTTGTGCGGGAGGCTGTCTGGGCAAAGTTTGCTGTTGTCCGGAAGGCTGTCCGGGCAAAGATCGCTATCGTCCGGAAGACTGTCCGCGGCATGGGACCGTTGCAACGTGTAGTTCAACCCTCGTTTGCGGTCGAGGAGACTCAGGAATTGAAGTCGGTTTTTCAAAAAAATACTTCGACGTCAAGCATGTTGAGGGTGTGTCGGCCTGACTGCGTGCACGACTGATTTATTTGGAAGCGTTGCAGTGCTTGCATGTAATTTGGAGGGATCAGCGGGAGGTGGTGAGTGGCTCCGACGTGCCGGGATGTGGATCAACTGGAGTCGTGCACGAGCTGCTGGTGTGCAAACAGGCTTATGGAGATCGATAGTCGCTGACTTGCATAACCTGGGTTTAGGATATCGCGTTCTGGTATTCGTGGGGCAGATCACGCTTTTGATAAACAAGCACGGTGCAGAGACGGCTCCAGTAGGACGTTCTATTCTACATATCTAAAGCCTTTCTTAGGTCTGTCCGACCGTTGCTGCAGTCTCGCACGAGCCCAAGCAATCTCTCTGGCCTCTGGTCTCACAACCGCTTTGGTTTCTTGTCTCACGAACGCTTTGGTCTGGTATTACAAGCGCTCTGGTCTCTCATCTCACGAACGCTTGGGCTTCGGATCTCACGAACACTTGGGCTTCGGATCTCACGAGCGCCTTGGTTCCTGGTTTCACAAGCGTTTTGGCCTCAGGTCTCACAAGCGCCTTGGTCTGGTCTTACGAGCTCTCTGATCTTGAACCGTGGGATAGGTTTTGTGCCAGCACGTCCGTGGTCTAATCCAATATGGCCGTGCGTGGGGTGACGGCTCAGAACGCGCCGCGGTCGGATCCTCGGTCTGCGTTTGCAGCGGGTTCAGTCACCAGACGACTGGGATCATGAGGGCTTACCCCAGGTAATCTCTAGGGAATCGATCGCGTCGGTTGCCGGATGAGGTCTATTTTGAGCTCTACAGGATACAGGGACGCAAGACGAGAGTGCGCCGTGCGCCGTTTTTTATGGTATAAATGTCGCGTTCTGGAACAAAACAGCTGCTTCTGATTCATACGCCCATACCGGGTGACTTCAAATGGCGTATATGTTAGTTCCGCTTTATGAAACTAACTTAACGAACTGGCTGCTTGTGTCTCCATTTATGCAAGGAAAAAAAATTGATGACGGCACAAGTTGCACGTCTTTGCAGACAAAATAATGCGTTTTGTTCTTCAGCTGAGTATGTTGATGCTAACTGAAGAAGAGAGGGTGGGATGCGATCGCATACATGGGCATGGTAAAACCATAATGGCAAGGCGCGCACTCATTAAATCAACAAGGGGATCCTGGTGCTCACCGCATGATTTCGAAGTCAAATCTTGCCGACCATTGCTCCCGGGATACCCAGTATGACTGACTCACCACGGAATTACTGCGTGGCGTTAGCGGTCAGCGCTCCCCCCCCCCCCCCCCCCGTCACGGTTCAAGGTCGCCCGCCGGTCCGACTCCCGGAACGCTGCCGGTCATCCCGCGTGCCCTAACCTGACCGGGCAGGCAGAGGTGCATCTCAACCGGTCGCTGGTCCTAAAAAGGTCCCGCACGCCCAGCACGGCCAGCCTGGGGCGCCGGCTACGACATGTCGCGGCGACGCCGACTGCACAGACCGGCAGAGATAGGGACGGGCGGACCGGTCCGTCACCTCCGGACGTCTCTGGGTTCGCTGTCGTCGTGCCGGTGGGGGTCATGGTGCAGGGTCAGCCCTGGCGCCGCGCCGCCGAGCAGGAAGCTCGTGGCCGTACCCGTCGCCGGCCGGCGGGCTCCGGCGGCGGCAGCGGGAGCCGGACACCGAAGACTGGTGAGGAGCTGAGAACCTCACGGGTCGTCCCCCGCGGATCACCGCTAGGTCTCACCGACATCGAAGTACTCTGGTCGGGTGACACGGTGACGCTGTTGGCTGGTGTGGTGTGCAGCTTGGAGAGGAGGGCGGGCCACCGGGTATTTTATCGTGATGCAGCACAGAGCGGATGACAGGGGACGGTGCACTGTAAGTACCGTGGCTGATGGGTTTCATAAAGCAGCACTGCAATTTAAACCACTTCTCTTTCTCTCTGCAGAAAAATGGCGTCGTCATAGAATATCGGTGGGAAAGCGACACATTCTATTCCAAGTTGTGTTTCTGAAGTCATTGGTCATCAGCGGGAACAAATCAGACGCGGTTTATTTGAATGGTGCAAGGTGTTTCAAACTGAGTGACCCGGTCCAGCCAGTGGCCACACCCCATCGAGCTAACGTATTCGCACAACCGCTGACCGTCGCCATCATGGAGATTTTGACAGCAAAGGACGGAACGCGAGTAGGCCTTGGTGCCTGTTTGTGTGGTATTTGCTTACGAGCTGCTCGATCGCAGGTAACATTCCTGCAGCATTACAAAGTCAGCATGCATTACCGCCATTCGAAGAACACGGGAAACGTGAAATGTGCATGTCACGAAAAGCCACACAACGCGGGTTGGAGCTATGTTCAGCTTTCGACAAAAGGCCAGGGCAGCGTCCCAGACAACGTGATTAACGGATTACCTATGGGGCGCTAGAGCGAAATCCCCGAACCGGGGTCATGGCAAGACCTTTTCAAGCGGTGTGATTTATAGGTTACCGGGCAATCAAATGCGTTTATGATCTTAAGATATATTTGTATGGAGCTCCAAAGGTATCCTCTATAGATTGAAAAGTGTCCTCTATTTCATCAGATAGATGTTATCCGATGATGACATTCAGGTTTAATACCACCCCGCTGGTGCCATGCTTACGCGCAGGGTCAGCAAAGCATGCCTTAATACCTGTCAGCCGACGCTGTAGCTTCGGCATTCCAGCCCGACCCGATCAGCCATGCTTTTGACGGAACCGTCCTTTTGACAGTAACCCTTTGTTCTAAACTTCCAAGCTATGTGTGCCAGCAGTCCGATTAGGCGAACTTGTCATTTCGCCTACTTTTGGCTTGTGTGTGAGGCATAGCATTGCGTAAAGCGTCGCCCCTTCTTACAACCCACGAAGCGGAGAAAAATTGTGCAAAGGCTGCAGAGCACGGATCAAAACCAGGCACCGATAGTTGTAATCCGGGGTCACAGCGACTCGTGAGCACACCATTTGACGAAAGAGAGAACAACAATGGTGGTGGTGAAAGTTCTGGTCGATTTGTGCAGCCGATCAGGAGCATCAGAGTGCAAGCCATGGGTCCGCCGATTCCGAAGGTTTTTTATGAAAGACATCAGATCTTGTGAAGCAAAGGAAATGGCGAAATGAAGGCACTGCCACCTAGCGTGGGAAGCATGTACCGTTGACCAAACACTGGTGGAGCTCAACTCTGCACGAGCTATAACAAAGCCGGCGTCGATCAGCAAACAGCCAACGCTGCGTTGAAGCGACTCGATCCTGAATTTTATGCTCTGTGTCTAAACTGTAACTTATTGCGCCATGAAAACTGCACTCACGTATAGCTCCTTCATCACCTGAGCAATGTCTCATAGAAACATGCATTTGCGCATTACCTTTGATTATAATACAAATAAACGCTTTCAACGAATTGATTTCGGTCCCCAAAAAGACTTGGCATTAACAATTCCAGTCAGTCAATTCTCCGGCAATTCTCTGTACTTTGCCGAGTTGCGGGACTACACATAATTGAACCCGTTTATTAGGTTAGCATGTGGTAAAACCTATCAATATGTGTTACCAAAAGCGAGTTAACCCATTTGCGAAAGCGTTTATATCATATGCAGGATGACCCTCAAGTGCGTGTCATAGCATTGCTCGTATGGCGTCGGTAAAACACCCTTCTGGCTTTCTTGCTACTGAACTGTTCTCTCATGAAATCCGTGCCAACTAGCTCTGCTCTTTTCTGCACCTAGTTTTCACCGTGCCATCTCATTGATGAATGTCAACAATTTTCAGGGAGTGCCCTTGCATGCTTTGTTCCATGACTAGAGGCATTTTTGGCCGTTGGTCTTGGTGGCCGGGCATTGGGGCTGTGTGCGCGCTGAACCGTGAGCCGTGAATATCAAAAGCGACGTCTTCTCTGCTCCGTACCTCGCCCGCATGGCGGTGGCTCCTAGTATTGAGCGGACACCTCAACGTTTGTTATGCATCACGTGCGGGGCTCTGGCCCAGGCTTTCTTCGCTGTGCAGGCCATTTGGAGGCATGTCTCAGGGCCAGCGGCTGCAGTTCTTTGATGCATAATTATCTTCAGTTTCGTTAACTACACACATGTTACGGTTGGAATGAGTTGCGTGTAGCGGATCTCTTTGTCAGGAACGGGCTATGCCTGTGAGTGGGGAATGATGCATTAGTATGCATGTCGGGACCGTTTACCACATGAGCGAGATAATGTGCATTCAGAGGATGACAAGAGGAAGCCAGCCGTGACGTCACATGTTAATGACGACATGATTTGAGAGAGTAAATGTAAAGCATGGCGTCTTCTAATTCCATCCCACTCCACCAATGGTTACCAGCATTAAGGTCAATAGCAATGAACCATCACCTTATTTTGTGTGGAATGTATGGGTGCTGCCGCGTCCCACTTCACTGGGAGATGTAAGGCAGACTGGATAACTTACGGGCAGGTATATATTAATGTGCACGGGCAGGAGAGTCTTGTACCCATTTTTGGGTGTTCTGCACGACTGTGCTTAAATCCTTCCTCACTGGGAAAAAGGCATGTGAAGAGGATGTGAAAGGCATGTCACTAGAAAAGT